GCTCAGGGCAGCAACCCAGGGACAGGCATTAGGAGCAGGGCTCCCAGCTGGGCTTATGTGCCAGCAGGAGGCTCTTGGGGGCTCCTGCTCCTCCAGGCTCTTGGAGAGGTGGAGCGCAGTGCCCGACTGCTCAGAGTCTGGATGCCCCACGGAGACTCACCCCCTCCCCAGCAAAGGGAGAAAGGGGGCCAAGGCTGGCGTGGCAGAGAGAGGGAGAGGAGGAAGAAGTGGGCCTAGGCTGGCATGGCAGGAGAAGGGGCTGGTGGGGGATGGGGAAGGGATCTGAGCTGTCGGGGGGTGGGAGAAGGGGGGGGTGCTGGTGGGGTGGGGTAGAGGAGAGAGAAGGGGGGGCCTGGGCTGGTGGGACAGGGGGAAGGAGAGAGAAAGGGCCTGGCAAGGGCGCTATTTCGGGAGGGGGTTCAGCAACCATACCCTCCAGGACTGGCTAAGCTTTCATCTGGCTCCCCAGATGCTAAGGGAGGGAAGGGAAAGTGCCTGCATTCCCTGCATACCTCTCACACCTGCCTGGGGAGCTCCCTTCAGCAGCCAGGTGTGAGGGGCATGCACAGAATGCAAACCCTTTCCCGTCACTCCCTGAGAATCCCAGGTACAGGATGAAAAGTAAGCCACATCCCAGAGCTGCTGATCTCCTACCCTCCCAAAATGGCACTCTTGGGGCTTAGGCTGGCTCAGCAGGAGGCGTGGGGGAGGAGAAGGGGCCCAGGCTGGCGGGGGTGAGGGAAAAGGGACGTGGTCTGGTGCAGCCACAGCCCAGCCCTCCCTGGTGGCTGGGGGAAAGCCGGGCTTGCCTACCCCCTGCAAGAGGGGGGTTGGTGACTGCAGCGATTAGGGGCACAGCCTGCTAGTTTCTATAAAGCACAGGAATTATGTTTCATATTCTTGAGTGTCAACTACAGGCAGTCCCCGAGTTACGCGGATCCGACTTATGTCGGATCCGCACTTACGAACGGGGCTTTTCTCGCCCTGGAACTCGCGGGCGGCGGGACCACCCAGACGCGCAGTGGTCCCGCCACCGCGTCCTCCGGGGCGAGAAAAGCTGCTCCGGGTGTCCCTGGTCTGCTGGGGGGGGGGCCCCAGGCGACCAGGGGCACCCC